AAGTAGGCACATATGTTTCGGTGTCCAGTGGGAAAAATCTCACCAGGACACCGAAAACATGAAAAAGCTTTGCCAGGTGAGAGTAGCTCAATGTCGATGACGAGGCCTCAACTCCCACCCCCCGTACGGTGTCCTGGTTTTGACAAACACAAATATGGTCACATTAACCTGTATTTCACTGAGTTGTGCCACATCAGTGCACAAGAGCTGTTTTTTTTTTTTTCTTTGCTTAGTTTATGCAAATTTGCCATGCGGTTTTAAGTTTTGTTTCTGTGAGAGTTGCGCACATGTGCATTAAACACATTATAATGTCAAACGGGCTGATGTGGCTCTAGAGTGGTTACGGTTTATATGTCGTAAAGTTGAATTTATTTATGCAGATTAGTAGTGCACATAGTAATAATAATGATGATAATTTTGATATAAAAACGACGATTAATCGACAATTGATCGTTAATTCTTCTGACGATCGTTCATGATCGTTCATGATTAATTGATAATCAATTGTTAATTCTAACAATGATCGATAAAGAAAATTTAATCGAATGCCCATCCCTAATGTAAACACACACAAATTGCGCGAACTCACACGTGCACTGCCCTGCACTGAACTGAACATCCCGTACTGAAACGGTTCGGCATGAATACATGTACCGTTACACAAACTGATCAAATTTCAAGTTAATTGTGTTTTTTGTGGAAAATTGCTGGTTCCTACATGTTTATCAGTTAAAATTGTGTATCAGGAAATATACATATCAGCCAAAATGTGCAGGGTCTGTGTGTTAAACATGTGTGAATGAAACAAAACACAACTCCAGATGTGTTTATGATGAGGAAACAACATTAGAACATAAATCAGAAAATACCCTAATATAAAGTTGTAATGTGCAACTTTTCCAAAACGAGAAATTGTTCAAAAGTAAATGCTCTTTGTTGTGTTCGAGATATGGAAACCAACAAGGGATTTTGATAACATCAGCTGCGAAGTATCAATTCCTGTAGTTGTAGATATTTTTGGCCGTATCTTGCAATCGTACAACATCCCTCAACAACCTTTTTCATAACTCTCTGTTGAAATTTCCCATAATTAATAACCTGTAACATTTTCACAAAGGCTAAACACGAAACAAGATGCAGGAGATGTTATCAAACCATTTTCAGTTCAATGGAAATTTCTCCAATCTAATCTCAGCATGCACTTTGCTCGCCATAACAACGGACTAAATCATATTGAGGTCCAGACCGTATAATATCCTTTCCCATAATTCCATTTGTTACGTGAGTCTTTTCCACTAAATCCATATCACATTTTGTCCTGTCCACATTTTTCAGCTGCATCTGTTTTGTGTCAGCTCTGATTTATTGACAGATCCTCGGACCGCAAGACTCTTCAACGGTAGCATTTCTTTCTCTCCTCTCGTCTTTCTCTCTTCTGTATATCTCCTCTTCTCATTCTCTCCTTTTTCCCTCTCAACCCCTTGTCTCTTTCTCTCTCCCCTTGTTTTCTCTTGTTTGATCAAATATTCACTTTCTTTGCCCTCTCAACTCGTTCTCTCTCTTCGGCTCTTCTACACTAGCTTTTTTCTTTTTCTCTTCTACTCTTTCCCCTTTCACCCCTCTCTCTTAGTATCTCCTCTTCTCTTCTTTCTTCTCTTTCCCCTCTCACCTCTCTCTTAGTATCTCCTCTTTCTTCTCTTTCTCTCTCTCTTTCTCTTAGTATCTCCTCTTTTCTCCCTCTCTGTCTCTCTCTCTGTCTGTCTCCTCATTCTCTCTCTCTCTCTCTCTCTCTGTGTCTCCTGTCTTCTCATTCTCCCTGTTTTCTCTCTGTTCTTCTCTTTTTGACTCTTCTACAGTTGCTTTCCTTTCTCTCCTCTTGCATTTTCTCCTCTGTCTCTCACTCTCTCCATCTTCTCTTTCCTCTCTCATCGTTTTTTGTCTCTTACTCTACTCTCATCTCTCGTCTTCACTCTCTTCACCTCATCCTCTCTCTTTCTCTTTTTCTTGCTCCACCTTTCTGGCTCTTCTACCGTAGCTTTTCTATTCTCCTTTCTCTCATCTCTGTTTTTCTCTCTCTCCATCTCCTCTTTTCATTCTCGTTGTCTTTAGTGCTATCAAAGTTTCACTATTTCTTCGGCGTCTCTGAACTCTCTCTCTACTCTCTCTGTCTCCCTCTCTCTATTACCCCTTCTTTTCTTTCTCCTTTTTTTTCTTCCACCTCATTTTTCTCCTCTGTCTTTCTCCCTCTCTACTCCTCACCTGTCCCATACAATCTAACTTTTATTTGTCCTTCTCTCTCACTATCTCTTTCTCACTCTCCTCTTTCTCCCTCCTTCTCTTTCCCAGTCTCTCCTTCTCTCCTCCCTTTCTCTCAGATCTGGTCTGAGCTCCACTCATCCGACAACCATCCACAAGTGTGTTTGGCTTCAGTGAAAAGTGTGGGAGGAACAGACGGAGAGCAGATCTGTTTTTAAAGCTTTAAGGAGTCGGCTGTTATAATATTATTGATAAAACTGAAAAATGAATATGGTATTTTTTGAAAGCCTAGATGACAATTTTATTATGATTTATCTGCGCAAAGTGTTCAAGAAATTAGTTAGTGCAAGGTTTGGTTAGTATCACAACCGCGAATTAGAACTTGAATCAACATTTTAAAAGTCAGATGAGTAGGGACTTTTGTGAATCTCTTTAGCACAGTTTGTCTACATCACAAAAACAATTATTGATATTAACAGGATATTATATTTTTAGTAGTATAAGTAATATAATATAGGTAGCTCCGGAGTATAAGTAACATCAGCCAAAAAATGCGTAATGAAGAAGAAAAAACAAGTTTCCCTTTTGGGGGGAAATTTGTTTTATAAAATCAGAAACCAGGAACCGACATTTCAATAGAATAGAGCAGAACAGAAAACAAGAGACTGTTAACGTCACATATGAACAGTTCTTCATATAACTATAGCATAAACAACAGAACAGAACAAGTTTACCAAACTTTCCATCTCACTCCAAATCCACTGAATTCTTCATCCTTGGTGTCACTTCTGAACAACTCCACGATCTCCGGAGGTAAACAGAGCACCTCTTCCTCTCGTTGTCAGACTCATCAGTTCCAGTTGAATTATTCTGGTATTTCTGAATCCCGACAGGATGGTTTTGGTTTGTCACTGAATTCCAGGATTTGTCCATCCATCCATCGTCTTCCAGGAAAGTTGCATGGTGCCAGTTGCTGTGAAACGGTGTTCTCCATCACCGCTTTTCAATCCGTCACAAGTTTCTTGCTCACTCCAAACTTTCTTTCTGCTGCTCCATTACCGTTTTCGGCTGAATATTTCACAACTTTTGCAGCAGGACAACGCTTTTTTCTGCAGGAAACATGTGCAGTAGAACGAAGTGACAGTGGTGCATGAGTAATAGGAGCAGCAGATACTAGAGTGTCCTCTAGCGGCTGTCAGTGTGAAAATTTTAATATATAAGTCACACCAGAGTATAAGTCGCAGGAAACACCCACACCATGAAAAAAAAGTGTGACTTGTAGTAAAAAAAAATACGATAATTACTTCATTATCATGTATAATGTTTTTATTAGGGTAAGTTCAGTTAAATTAAAACAAAAATGCACATGCTTTCCTTTACTAGTCAAACTGGGTCAAGATAAGATCTTAGATCTATGCAGCACTTGCACAGCTCGCCGACACTGATGAAAGCCAATCAGGAAGCTTGTGGTGTTTGCTGTGTCATGGTCGTGCGTGTACATACGTCTCAGCCAAAAAGTTACTACGCGTTGAACTTCTGCCGAGCAAAAGGGCCGTGATTGGCTCCTCCACAGACTACACAGACAACTGATTAAAGCAGCTTGGAACAGCTAAAGTTTGGTACAGAAATGTTTGTCTGAGCCTAATATGATTATTTATTGTCACAGTAAATAAAAAAAAAATCATAATGATGAGCTCCGCAGAAGTTCTTATGGTTCGGGTCTGCGTCAACTCTCAGCTGAGCGGGGCCCGACGCAGAACTATAAACCGACCTTTACTTTCGCTCTTTCTCTCCTCTGTCGCCCTCTCTGCCTCTCTCCATCTCTTCTTTCCCCCTTATCTTTTTCTCTCTTTCTCCTCTTGTCACTCATGGTCAGATCTTTACTCGTTCAATAAATAAAATCTTTTTTTGTGTTTTTGTTGCGTTGTTGTTTTCTTATTGATAATTGCATCAGCCAATATTGCAATATCAATATTTTCACAATGTATTCTGCAGACCTAGTTTTTATGAATCCTTGTGGTACTGAAATAGGCATCGAGCCTTTTCTTTTGTATTGAAATACAGTCGTCCCTCAGTATAACACAGTTCACCTTTCGCGGTCTCGCTGTTTTGCAGACTTTTATTTTTTTTATGTTCCTCCCCCTGAGTCCTGATTGGCTAAGGGACTATAGACCACTGTCAATCAATCTCCTCTGTGCCGTGTCTCCTGTACACATCTGTTCAGCTTGACAAATTTACATAAATGTCGGCTCTCTATCAGTGTGATTCTGAAGTGCTGTATGTTTGCAAGTTTTCTCCCCAACAAAACCCACAATGCTGACGAAAAGTTCTGCACCGACAAAGGCTCCTGCGCTCGCACTAAAAAGGCAGAGGAAGATGCAAACCGTCGCACAAAAAGTTGGACTTTGAAGGAAGGTAGGAGTTATGCAGCTGTAGGGCTCCATTACGGAATAAATTAATCTTCAGTTCGTTACATAAAGGAAAAGGAAAATAACATAAAGATGAAAGCAGCAAAAAGTTTTAAAAAGGATGCAAAAAGGTAACTGTCCTGTGTGAGAAAAGTGTATAAAGTGTGTGATCAGGGGTTTTACAGATAAAACAGATATAATAATAAAGTTGACTACTTCACGGATTTCGCCTATTGCAGGTTATTTCTAGTAACCCCTGCGATAAACAAGTGAAATTTGAGTGACGTGACAGCCCTTGTGCAATAGTGACACATTTTGTACAGCAGGGGGCGTTACCTTCTTAAAGAGGCGTCCTGAGTCTTCGCTGATCTGTGCGAATCGGGGGATGATGTTGTTCAGGTAGAGGTCGGACAGCGTGGCGTGGTCTCTGCTCTCTCTCTTCACCTGCAGCAGAAGAAGGTTCCAGCAGTTCTGAGGAGACAGGATGCTCTGCTCCTTCCTGAAAACAAAGTAAAGAAAGAAGAAAGGGAATGTCACACGGAGGTCCAAAACAATAAAAGCCCAAGATGGGAAATCTCAAAGTGGAACTAAACACTAAAGATTTTGTCCCTCTTTCTTTTCCCTCTCTCAGGGCTCTGTCTCTTGCATTCTCTCTCTCTGTCTCTTTGACTCTTCTACAGTAAGTAAGTAAGTAAGTCTTTATTTATATAGCACTTTTTCACAGACATGTGTCACAAAGACACTTTACAGAGCATTTATAGATTCATTATTCTTTTTCACCAGCCACAGCTGCCCTGGGGCATACTGACGGAAGCGCGGCTACCATGCCAATCGGCTCCACCGGTCCCTCCAACCACCACCATCACACACACACACACCACTTTCATACTAGGCAATGTGGGTGAAGTGTCTTGCCTAAGGACACAACGAAAGTTTTTGTGACTGGTGCCCCACTGTGGCACCTGATTTTCTTTGTGGTCTCCCATCCAAGTACTAACCAGACCTGGCCCTGCTCAGCTTCTGAGATCTGATGGGATCAGGCGTTGACAAACTGGTATGGCCACAGTACAGTGTAGTACAGTGCAATACAGTGCACTGCAGTACAGTGCAGTGCAGTACAGTACAGTACAGTACAGTACAGTACAGTACAGTACAGTACAGTACAGTAGCTTTTCTTTCTGTAGCTTTACTTTCTCTTTCTAGAAGTATCGGATCGGGACTCGGTATCGGCAGATACTCAAAATCAAAAGACTCGGACTTGGACTCGGGGGCAAAAAAATGTGAACGGGACATCCTTAATCAATATATGTCCATGATATAAAAGCCATATTGATTCACAAATGCAATGGATAAAACAAATGTGTCTGCCATGTCAGCTGTTAAAAAAAAAAAAAAAAAAAAAAAATCACTTGAACTTTTTTTGGTAGATTAAAAAGGTTGACCTGAGCACTATACTATTCCCTTTAGCGAGAACAAAGGCTGCAGATGAAAGCGCCGCACGCAGACACACAGAGCCGCAGTCCAGACCAAAAGGACACCAAACAGAGTCCAGACCAAAAGGAGACCAAACAGAGTCCAGACCAAACCCAGACCAAAACACGGCCCGGGTCCAGCCCCAGCAGGCGGAGGTCAGACTCCCCCACACAGCTGTCCCACTGAGGTAGGAACAAAGAGATAGTTACTGTAAAAGGACTACTGGGGAAAACCCTCAGAGTTCAATCGCGGTTTTAACTTTTAAGAGGCTGGGTCCAAAGACAATATTGAAATTCCAAGTTGTGACATCAGACTTCATTGGTATAATAATCAGCCCTTTTCAGAATAATTTAGGAAGAAACCATAAGATTTGAAGCTCTTCTAAAAACTTTAAATATAACTGTGTACTGTACATCTAATTTTAAAGCGTTTTTATTGTAAGAGCATTAGGAAGTGTGTGGTTAGTATGCTAGTTGCTGTTAGTATCAGCTCGACAGCGAACTCCACTTTGGTCTCGGACATTTAAGAAAAGAGGATGAATAAGCAGATGCTCTGAATGTGTAAAGGAATAAGTTTGGACCATCGCAAACTAGTTCTGTTTTTTGCGTTTTAAGATCGGTTAAGAAAATCTGACAAAGCCTTTAGGACTTTAAGATAGAACTTCAAAATATTATCTAGCCCTACACATATACTTTAAACGGCACATATTACACTATTTTCTGACTTGTTATAATGTTTCCTCATCACAAACAGACCTGGAGTTGTGTTTTGTTTCATTCACACTTGTTTAAAATACAAACCCTGCATATTTAGACTGCATTCTTCTTTCAAACAGAAAACACGCTGTTTCAACTTGTGATGTCATGTGGTAATACAAGAAGTGCTCCACTGTGTTTTAAATTTTCAAAATTAAAGTGCATTAATCATGAACGTACTTTCCCATTTTCCTTTCCAAAACGCAGTAAACCATCCAATTAATTCTAATTCCAAAGCAATTTAATTTATAAATGTGTATTTGTAAATGTGAATTTTGGCTGTGTGTGACCTTTGGTTACCCTACCCCTCCCCTAGCGTTACATCTATCTCCCCCTGTCCTGTCCATTTTATTGTTTGTTATAACTTGAAAACTACCGCTTCATGACATCACAAGGTGAAACAGAGCATTTTGAGCTTTGAAGATGTAGACAGACTGATAATTAAGGGTGTAACGATACACAAAGATCATGGTTCGGTACATACCTCAGTTGAGGTCACGATTCGGTTCATTTTCGGTACAGTTTGGGAACAAAATCCAAAACCATTTACTTGTTGTTAATTTGTGTGTTTATTAAACCAACAATTTGTTTTAACTTTGTACAAACAGGAAAATAAAATAAATGCAAAGTGCTGCTTGGTAAAACTAATAAGTTAAATAAAATATTCTCAAATAAGCAACAAATGTATGAAATATTCTAAAAATTTAATTCCTTGTAAACAGTAAACAAAATGTTTCAAAAAGTAAAGTGCAGCACTAACAGTTCCAGCGTGAAGTTTTACTCAATCTTCATATTTTTGCCCAAAAAAACAACTTGTCCACATTGTCTGCAGTAAGTGCAGATCTGCTGCAGTTACAATGTCCCCAGCGACTGAAAATACCTTTTCTCTAGGGACAGAGGTCGAGGGTGTGGGGGATATGGGGATATGGGGGTATAGGGGGTTCCCTCGTGAATATTAAAGAGCTGAGTTTTCCATGTAACTGTACATGTAGTGGCATAATGTAAACACACACAAACTGCACAAACTCACTCGTGCACTGCCTTGCACCGAACCGAACGCCCCGTACCGAAACAGTTCAGCACAAATACATGTACTGTTACACTCCTACTAATCATAAAGTGTTACTACTACATGTGTGAATGAAACAAAACACAAGTCCAGGTCTGTTTTTGAGGAGGTAACTACATTCTAACCTGGCTTAAAGCTCACAAGAATCACTTTTGTGTAATACAGGATGTTTAAAAGCCCCAATGGTTGTGAATATCACTTGACAGGTGACTGTACCCATCCCACCCTCGGCTGACGCAGCATGTGTGAGTGCAGTGTATACAGTGCGTGTTATGTCTGACGCAGCGCGCAAAATGGATTTGGTCTGTCCATATACGTGAATGAAAGAGCCCCTTTGTGTTGTTAATGGGAGCTTAACCCCATAGAAACCCATAGAGCCACGGGGCATTTACATCACGGTCTGCGGGGGTCAGAAATGCGGAGAGGTGACCCCGGCGTAGAAGAGGTCAGCGGGGGTGGAAGGGGTAAAGAGGGGGGCTGGGGCAAGTGGAAATGTGAGTATTTAAGTGGCAAACTCAAAACCTTAATATCTCAACTAGCCAAATAGAACCACAGACTTTGAAAAAACTTGAAAAATCTACATAATGGTGCAGATTTTGCATACATTTTTACAGAATCAACCGAAACAATCAATGGAAGCACCAAACTATGTCATATTTCAGGTAAAAGAAGTTAATATGGTACGAGAATTTTGGAGAGATGTTGTGTTCCGCATTTGAGAGACACGTGATACAAATTAACGGCTGTAGTTGGACCGTTTTTCACGCTAGTTGGAGGTTTTTCATGCTCCCTGCTCTGGTTCCAGTCCCTTCTAGGTTCAAACAGAATGTAGAAGAGACTGGCTGCTCAGACAACTTCATATTAGGTCTGTCTCAAATCAAAATGTTTGTTATAGGGCTTATAATGTTTTTTAATGGTTATAATGGTTCTTTTAAACATTTTTCCCCTCTTGATAATGGACAAATTCACCAGGTGAAAAATGTTCTTCGGGCCGCATTTGGTCCCCGAGTTTACTTTGGACTAGCCTGATTCATCAGCCGGTTTCCACGAAGTGAGAGTCTGCCCTCGCAACATTAGGATTTGTTCTCTTGATGGCAGGCAGGTACTTTTTTTTTATTTAACCAATCACTGCGATTTGATCTTTCCCTTGATAAAATTCACCAAACATTCTATATGCTCCAGCTTTAAATCCTCGATCTCGGGAATCATTGTCAACACAGAATGTATGGCTTCGTCTACATCCATCTCGACCGCTTTGTTTACTGTTGTGTTGTACCACAAAAGGGACACAGACAGGCGCTCGAGTTTGAAGTCATGGCTTCACAGCTCTTCGCTGATTGGCCGGTGTGCGGTCTACAACTTTCAGGGTTTTTGCAAACTGTCTAGTGTATTCCGATTCCTGACCTAGTCGCTGGAGAGAAATGAAATTCAGTGGAGGCACTAGGTGGCGCCAGCCTGGCTAACTTTGGACAGCCCTGCACGTAGAACTGCTTTGCCTGCAAAATGAGATGAACTCTGCCTGTATCAAATTTTGGAACCATGAGTGAAAACCGTCTTACAGACATAACTAAGTGCCCTACTCACTCACTCTGATGTTGAACCATGACAGAGAAACAGACAGAGTCTAAGGCAGACACTTGATATCAACCCATCCCAGTGCATGTATTTTCAAGGTTGATGTTAAATGCTTTGCCTGGGACGTTCCACAATATTAGCCAGGCTGGCGCCACCTAGTGCCCAATTTCATTTCTCTCCAGCGACTAGGTGAAAACCCCGGAATCACAAGTTCAGGCACCAGCCAGTCAGCAAAGAGTCATATATTCAGTGTTGGCAACGATTTCCGAAACAAAGAGAATGTTTGGTGAATTTTATTAAAGGGAAAGATGTTATTGCATTTCTTCCTGTGGGATTTGGGGAAAGCTTAATATACCAGGTAGCTCCGTTAGCGGCACATTACATACATCACGACCAAATAGCAGCGACTGGTTAAATGATAAAAAGTACTCGCCTACCGTCGAGTGAATGAATCCTAATGCTGCGAGGTCAGACGGTTTCTACAAAGTGAAACCGGCTGATGAATCAGGCTACCACAATATGGCATTAAACAAATATATCTTGTGTTTATTCATTTACAGTTTTTCATTTCTTAAAACTACCACAAAGACATGCATTCTTACAGTGAGCATGCCCACTTTTCCACAG